ACAAGAAAATGACCAATTTTCCAGAGAGGCTAAATTTCATTTCCAAGGTCATCTAGCAAGTTAGTCGCAGTGTACTAGTTAAATACGTGGATTCTGGAGTTAAACATCTTAGATTGAAATCACAGCTCTACCACTCATTCTGTAATGCTTGCAAATCATTCCACCTTTGTGTCTCAATTTTCAAATCAATAAAATGAGAATAACAGTTGAACTTAAATGCGATGATACATTTCAGTAACACTAGATAGTTTCTGGAACACATTAGCTAGTGATCAATTAATATTAGCTATATTTGTGATTTGTGAGAATGCCAAAACCAAAGTTACTACCATCTACAGCAGCACTCTACCTGTTCTAGAGAAATGCAAGAGCTCACTGTATAAGAGAGTTATAAGTGAGAAAATAATTTTGTTGCAAAAATGGCTGTGAGACACAGAATAATAGCAAGTCTTTTTCTTATTTTGTTTTGTTTTTATTTTTTTCTTGGAGATAGAGTCTTGCTATAAAGTCCCAGCTAGCCATGAACTCCCCAGGTAGTGTAGGCTGCCCTTGAACTCATGATCCTCCTCCCTCAGCCTCCTGAGTCCCACTGAAAGCTGTGATTACAGGCATATGCCACCACACAGAGCTCATATTCAGTTTTCTTACTCTGTTAGTACACAAGTCTTACTCTGTTTTAGGACACAAGTCATTTAGGGATGACAGCGGCCAATGGCTAAATAATAAAAAGTTTATACAAAGGTCTCTTAGGTGAAGCAAAGTATCTTCCAAGGATAGACTTCATCATGCAATATAATTCAATCTTGTAAAAGATATGTTTCACTTTTAACTAAAGAAGGTCTCCCACAGAGAAACAAGGCACATTCTGGAGGCATCATTGACTGTTTCTTTGATAGAAGACAAGAGTTGAATTCATATACTTTACAGTGGATTTAAAATTTAATCAGTATAATGGATTACTAACCTCACTTCAAAGACTCTTGAATAGTGGTACTGAGCTATTTACAGGTCATTGGGAATGTTTATCAGGGGCTGAGGATTCAGTTCAGTGTTTTTGCCGCCTGCCTCACAAGCACAAAGACCTGAATTCGATCCCCGGTACAAAAAAAAAATGTTTACTAGGATCCGGAAAGGTATATTCATAAAGATCCTATTAATTTATATTATAATTAATTGTGTTAATTGTATTCACATATTTCTGTAAAATCACAGACCTGTTATAAATAAAAAAATTCCAGAGAAGAGACTCAGATGCTTATCACTGGTATTTTTCTGAATAAGATTCATTTCAGGATAAATGTAAAAATTATTTCTTTGAAAAGTCATTTTCTGTAAAATATAACTATGTCTTTCCAATTTATTTGAGAATTTGTATATGAGTTCAATAGGCTCTTAATAAAGAGAATTGTCCTAATATCATCAGTCTGAGAATTCTTATAGTTCTTTCTCTTTATTTTTTATTAATATATTATTGTTTTAATATTAAGTTTTTAACATGTACCGAACATATATGGTTGAAATACAAATATTACAAGAGCAAATGTGATTTCTGATCTCACAAAGGACTTTGAAAACATGCAGATTTGTTACATATCTGCACTTTGTCTTGTAGAGTTCCATATATAGAGAGAGTAATTATTTAACATAGTTATGTTAGGAAGCTATTTACACTCATATTTTTATATATGTTTTGTTTGTAATATTGTGTAAGAATTTTAGCTTTTTAAATTATACAAACTGGTGCTTATACTATCAAGCTCTGGTAAAATAATATGGTATAACTGTAACAAAAGTTGCAGAACACTTTATGAATCATAAATCCCTTCTAATTTTTGTAATCCTGTGACAGATTAGGATGGCAAGTATGTATTTGCAAATGGAGTGATCATGTGTTAGTGAATACAAGTGACTTGTGCAAAGTCCCTCGTCTTTGTAAGACCAGAATTCCAAGTGGAAGCTTTCAATGCCAGACTTTCTGCTTTAATGCAATAGAAGAAACGTAAATATTTTGTGAATATTGACTAGATTACATTTATAGTGTCTGCTATACTTTATGAAGTATATTAGACCGTACAAAACAGCAAAACACTGCCATAAACATGAATGTTGTGAGAAAGAGAACTTTCTTCTAGTTCATTTTAAAAAAAATACAACTAATTGCTCCTGTGATAGCATTAGTTTATTCTGCACTTTTATGATTGTTCACAGCACTCCTGACTGTGTATAAACAGTCTGAACCACAACCTTTATCAGCAAATGCAAAAGGCCTCATTTATAGTTGAGCATTCTGTTTCTCTTTCCTCTGTCTCTGTCTCTCTGTCTCTGCCTCCACCTCTGTCTCCGTCTGTCTCTGTCTGTCTCTCCTGTGTGTGGTGGCATTGGGGATTCAACCCAGGGCCTCACATATGCTAGGCAAGCCCTCTACCACTAAGGGATACCCACTAGCCCTTCTGCTATTTTTGGTATGTGTCCTTGTAACATTCATGTTATTTTGTATTCAGTTTATCAGCTAAAGTTAATTTTCTCTAGTTTCTGATAGAGATTAACTCGGCCATTTTACATAAATAATATTAATATGTGGTGTACTCACCATCTACCTCATTTCATTTCCTTTAAAAATTTCTATTCTATATTGTACTAGTCTCTGTATGTTAGCAATAATTCTCATTGTATCTACATGTAAGTACATATACACAAACAAAAAAACAGTGGAGCAATGACAAATCCATCCAAATATCACATACCCAAAATGAACTATCATTTTAAAACAGCAAACAAATAATGGCATATGAATGTTAATTTCAGTAGAAGTTACAGAATTTAGGAATTTGGTAAATCCCACTGAAAGCAGAAATAAGTAAGCCTCAGTGCTATTTATGTAATGTTACTTAAATGGATTAAAATTTATCTATTGTTAAAAATCTAAGAATTTCTATAACCTAAGTCATACTATAATTAAAAGTTAAAAACAAGATAATGCAATAAAGAAATCTTAAAGTACAAAGACTAACAATGAGTCAAGTCAACTGTTTGCATCATTATAAACTCATGTATTTATTCACTCAACAGATATTTATTGAGTGGCTTAGCAGTGAACAGAATGGAATCTGTACCCTTAAGTAGCTTCAACTTTATTGGAAGAAAGACAGTACTTAGAGAAACAAATGAGCAAGGTACTTTCAGATTATGGGAAACGTTTAAAGGAAATGAACAGAAAGCTAGGATGGCAATCATTTTTGGTGGGCTGGCTGAGAAGGGCTTTTCAGAGGAGTTGGTATTGTTCCAAAAGATCAGTAGAGAGGGCTCTATGAGGAGCAAGGAGACATGGGTTCTAGGCAGAGAGAACAAAAGCAAAAGCTGAAAGACAGTGAGTGAGAATATGGGATGAGATGATACTGGGAAGGAAGAAAAGGAACAGACTATTCCATGCATAGAAGGCCATACAGCCAGGATCTTTGATTTTCTTGTATGAGCCACTAAAAAATTTAATCAGAGATTAAAATAATCTATTTTTGTGGGAAACAACTGGAAAGGCTGGGAGACCAAGCTACTCTGCTGATTTGGATGAGAGGCAATGGGGACATAGACTCAGAGGAAGAAGTAGGGATGGAAAGGAATTGAGGCAGAGCAGCCAACAGGACTTGCTGAAATTAAAGAACCAGGATGAACATTAGCCCTGGGGTACTTACTTCTTATGACAAAAAAACAGAGGATAGATGTTAAAGGAAAAAGAACTGACCCAAAGAGGCAGGAACTATTTCCATTAAGTTATTCACATAGTTCAAGTCTACATGATGGGTAAGACTCTCACTATTCCCAACTAAGGAACAGACTCAGTTGGCTTAGATTTCTGCTTGAAACTGTGCTCAAGAAATTTTTCATTAAAAAAAGCCTGTGGGGGCCAGGGATTTAGCTCAGTGGTTTCACTGCCTGCTGCGCAAGCACAAAGACCGGAGTTCGATCCCTGGTACCAAAAAAAAAAAAAAAAAGCAGCCTGTGGACTTCTTTCTGTAAAGTGCAGTTATATCTACTGTTCTTCTCCTCACAGAGTACAGTGCCCATGACAACAGAGTAAGCCTAAGTTGGTCAAATTCAACATTAATTTCTTCTCTTAGTTTCCCTCAGCAAAAATAAAATTTCCTATGTGCTGAGCATTCTGATAGATTCTTTACATAATGTTGAAATTGATAGTTGAAATTTGTACCTATGTCTGTTGTTTTCTAGGACTTTCTGTTCTTTCATGACCTCATGTTGCCTTATTGATCAGAAAACATATATTGGTAAATCATTTAGAACTGTATGTGTTTGGCTCCTAGTAAGTCTTCAGTAGAAATGTTAGTGGAAAATGATGACAGAGAAATATAATGACAAAATAAAGGGACATATTCATTTCTCCCTAATAAAATAATAGAAGTGCTAAGTATTCTGAATAAAGACCTCTGCTATCCCATAGAAGGAAACTTTGTAAGGTGTCAGGAGAATATCAGATTACTCAATATAGAACAAATCAGCTGACAGAAAACTGACTGTGTATTTTATTAAGGTTCTTGGTAAGTACTATACTATGTAGAGAAAGATGAACAAGAATAGATTAAATATAAAGTCAGATTAGATTTCAGAATCTTAAGAAAGAAAGAAGAAAATATGTGAAAGAAGAGGACCATTCTTTGTCACTAATTCATCTGTGATGCTCATAAAATAAGTTCCTGAGAGCCACCCCACCCAAAGACATTCTGAAAGCAGGGAACTGCCTGTCCAACACTTTCAGGTGATTTTGATACATCAGGTAAATGGACCACACTTCAGAATACACTGATTTAGTCCAGCCTCTTTATTTTATAAATTAGCATGAGACTTGTAAAGAACAATGATTATTAAAAGTTATGTCACTCATTTTCATTAGAGCTTAGTCTAAATCACAGTTGCCGCAATACTCAGATGTATTTGTCCAATTCCAGCCATGGACCTGCTAACAAGATGTATTCCCACTTTTCTTCTAGAATCACAACCACTGCTGCCTGCATGATGGACCTACGGCGGTACCCATTGGATGAACAAAACTGCACGTTAGAAATCGAAAGCTGTAAGTCTTTCTGAGAAGCCAGCTGATTGTTTTAAGCTTGTCCCTAGGCAGAGGATTCCTACATTGGTCCAAAGGTCCTACAAAGCTTTTGTTAGCCCACAAAATTGAGTGGAGCAAGCACTGATAACATCTTCCATCAATAATAATAATGCCATCTTCCATCAATAATGCCACTTTCTTACTCTTGTTCCTATATACTTAGGACAGATGTTTACAGATGAAATAATTTGGCAATAAAAGGGGTATTCCAGGCATTTAAAATGTGCAGTTGGTGCAAACGCTTACAACAGCTGTGGGAAAATCAGTGGAGGTGGGAGGATATCACAAAATATCCTAATTCTTTCTGCCTCTCATAAACTTTATCTCTATAATTGTGAAATAAATATGACCTCCTAGATTAAAGCAAGCATTCATAAAGTAGGGATTAGTAGACTATTTTCTTATTGTTGTTTTGGTTTGAGACACTACTTTTGGTATCTGAAGTTTATATTCTTGAGCAAGATTGGGGTGAGTGTGCATGAGTGTGTGGGTGTTTGTGTGTGTGTGTGTGTGTGTTGTGCTTCCTGTGCTGACTTGTTCTATAATGTGGTTTCATTTTCTAGGCCATGGTTTTAATTTCTCTGTTGATTCCGATAGCCACCCTGTTGGATAGGCTAAAATGCTGATTTCATGACCTGTCAGAGGTAATAGAAGAAGGTCATTGGAGTTGGACAGGCATTTTGAATCTCCTTTTCTGTCAGTTCTTTGGAATGTTTTTAGGCCTTATCCCACCAAATAGTTAGAAGCTGACAATTTTGTATCCAGTGTTCTAGATAATGAGTAGTTGGACTGCTGGAAGGGTAGTTGCAGACTCTGTGAGGAATTTTAGATGTGGCAAGCATCGTGACTCTAAATCACTGCTTTGAGCAGAAATGCACCATTCAGTTCAGATCGTGGATATTTTTGCCCATTTCAAAAGATAGCTTCTAGAGGTAATTAAATTTATATACATTTTAAAGAAATCGACTGCATACTTACATTCCTGATCAGCATTATATTTCAATTTATTTTTTGCCTTTCAAAACTAATTAATAAAATCTGTCTGTACAATTTCAATGACTAATTATATCCAAATATCTTTAGAACAACATTGTACATTTCGTTTTCTTGACTTATGGAACAATTCATAGGACAGTGTTTTTCAAAGTCCAAATTCTTTGGCAAGTTCATTTTGCTGATGTAAGGACATTTTGAAAAAAGTATGATGTGTACCATTCATGGATGTTTGTCTCAAGAATAGTATCTGAGGTATAATTTTACTGAGATGTTAAATATTTGAACATGGATTAAGTGCTTTCACTTACTGTATTTCATTTGAGGTCTTCCTATGCCTCACAGATAAGTAAACCAAGACTTCTTTATTTTAAAGAATTGAAGCCTAAAGAACATAGGGAACATCAAGATGTTTCTCGATGTTATTAAATTGTAACTTTGACACAATTATTCAAATATTAACATGATAATTCATTCTAATTTACATATCTCATTTCACTTTATAGTTACTTGTGAAATGTATGTAGGTTAATTCAGATTCTTCTCTTAATGAGTAGGAAAGCTGATATAAAAGGTAACAGGACTTGTCCAGTATCACACAGCCTTTGTTGCAGAGTAGCTCTGTGCTGATGTGGTAATTGATAGCTGAATTACTTTAAGAAAGACGCTGATGTGAGACAGATCAGATTGACAGATTCCCATTCTAAAGGAACCTGTTCTGAATATTAGGAACATGGCCTGTCTTTAAGGGAAAATTGGAATTGTTCACATTTAGCTAGACAGCAAATCATTGCTATAGATAATGAAATATGGCATTGCATTAATGATATTCATGATTACCAGGCTTTATTATTATAAGTAGTTTGCTAAGTATATTAAAATAAGCTTAACTTCCTCTCTGTTCACTTGTTCTCAGGTGATGTCTAACATTCCCTTCATCTACTCTTTTCCTTTAAGCAAACCCTAGGCATTCATTCTATTCCTCTTTCTTTCTCCTCCTGTTCTTTCTCTTTGTCCTCTCTGCTTTCCTTTCTCTTCCTCTTTCCTCTTTCCTTCCCTCTCTCAAGTGAAAACGACTCTAATAGTAGCATTACTAAATCATTAGCACACTGTAAAATTATTAGCAATATTGGTTCACTTTCAGAGATGATAACATAACCTGATTCTGGAAGGCTTAGAGAGGGAGAGCATTAGGAATGAGTTCATTGCTTTCATTGATTCATCCATTTAGTTAAAAATTTACTAATTCATTAAATATTTATTGAGCACTAGTTATTTACTAAGTATTGTAATAAGCTTTAGAGATATAATGGGAAGAATAATACATAATATTTTTTGGTTTTGGGGGGTTTTTGGTACCAGGGATCGAACTCAGGTCCTTGTGCTTGAGCAGCAGGCAGTGAAACCACTGAGCTAAATCCCCAACCCCTATTTTTTGTTTTTTAATTATGTCAAAGCAGATAGATATAATTGAAATATATACCTAGATGAATATGAAATTGTATTAGTGACAAGTTTGCCAAGATAAATATTTTATCTTAAAGAAAAGCTATTTAGAGTGTGCCTTGATATAAAAGTGCTGAGCATTCTAGGTGATCAGTATAGACTCTATTTACTTCATTACTTTTCTTCAATAGAGAGGGATAGAGAGGTTCTATAGAATTAATGGGATTCGAAGAATTAAATGGGTCCAATGATATTTATCTCTATGCAGGCTATGAAAAATAAACTGTTAAAATAGAAAAACTCCATTCCAAGGTGTTTCCAATCCTGTCTCTTAATGCTGCCTTTAATCTATATGTTCTGTATATTCAGAGTCAACTCATTGTATTTTGTACATGTAGCATGATATTGATATATATGTGCGTGTGTGTGTGTGTGTGTGTGTGTGTGTATTTACAGAGAGATATGTTTTATTCTGTACCTTACTCTGAACCTGTCAATACAGGTTGAGTAAAAGATAGAATACTTGCACGTTTTTCTAGGGTAATGTCAGTTAAAAGCACCAAATCCCATCTAGCCTATATAAACAAAGTTCTTTTGAATGTTCTTACTATTTAGGAATGAATTCTAGCATTGAAATAATGAAATGTTCCAAGCTTGCCAATGCTTCACAATTCCAGGGCTGTCAAATATAATTTAAATCTGAAAATACAAGTCAGAGATTTCTGTTTAAACAGAGTTCTGATCACATCATCATGAGGATACAGCATGATATTATACTGTGAGGTCAGTTAATAAGTTCTGCTCAAGGGAAAAAAAACACTGCAAGTGAGGCAGAGAGAAGATTACATATCTTTAAAGTGGATATAGTCAGGGGGCTACTCTGTCATGTTCTGCACCAACTCAGCTTTCCAATACCAATATAGCTACATGGCCACATCGAGCCCTGCTGTCTCCCTCAGGAGAATAAAGCTGCCTTAAGCAGTCTCTAATCCTCTTCCTGAGGACACGTGCACTACTTACCTGGAAGGAAATATAGAATTCTCTCAACTGGACTCATTGATGGACTGCTCAAGTTACTAAAAACTCAAAGCCTCTTTTTTTCTCCTCACATTTGTTCATGTGCTTTTATCTCATCTTTTCTCTGGGTGTTAGGCTGGCCAGCCTCATGTCTTAGAGAATAAGTGTAGGTTTAATAGGCTCACTCTCAATGTCACTGGTTTTTTCCTCAGTTTCAGCCTTTGTAAGATACATAATGAATCCCCCAAGTGCAGAAATTTCTCAGCAGCTCTTCTGCAGGCAGCTTCACAGGGCCATCCCAAGTGTTTGCTCAGACTGTCAGGCATCTCCTTTTAAGATCTTTAAAAAAATCCTACACCATGCCCTGTGTGACATCAGACACCAGTTTTTGCTGGGCCCTCAAACTCACTGCACATTGGGAAATGACACTGGGAAAGTCATCCTGCTGACTTTAGCCTTAATTTCCCCAGGGGCAAAATGGGGATACTAATATATACCTCATAAGGTTATTATAGGATTTAAATGAAATCATAGTTTTTAAAAAGTCTAGCATATTACTTATATATGGCAGACATCTGATAATTAGAAAGTTCATTAATTAATAATAGCATTACTATAAGAATACTAGTTTCCATTAGCTTAGCACAGCATTGTCTTTCTCAACCTTCGCGCAGTTTGTTCTGTCCTTACAGTGATGTTCCAGGCAAGACTCATTGTCTGGCATTGTCTCTACCTCCTCAGAGAATCTTTTCACTAACTGTGCCTCGGTATAAAATGCAGATTAATTTCTGCCACAGAAAGCAGAATTTAAAAAGCTTCAAAACCTAAATGTGGATATTTTAAATGTTTGAATGAAGTGCAAGAACTTCATTTGTGAATGTAATCCCTTCATGGTTTCGTTTACATTTAAACAGGCCCAGAAAGGCAGTCACGACCTGCTGCCCATCAAACCCGGCTGAGGTAGCCAAGGTCCCCGTAAGAGCGTGAGAGAACCTTGGCACCCACATCTCCTCTACACGGAGATGTTCTTCATGCTTTGTGAAGGCAGAAAATAGACAATGCCTTTTGTTGTATTGAATTCCAACATGGATATCGTAAAACAGCTTGCTGTTAGGCTGTTGATGGAACAAAGGCTATATTTTCTTTATTCAAAAGTTTCATTCTATATCATTGTATTGAAGAAGTCCATATAGATTAACATGTTTAAGCCCTCAAGATATTGAATATAAATTTACTATAGTGAAGGGCTAATTATTTTGGAACCAAGTTATCCTATGTAATAGCTATCATGTCAGCAGATATATTTGTAGTATTTTTAAGACTTTAAGAGTGCATTTTGGGGCCAGGGATTTAGCTCAGTGGTTCTGCCGCCTGCCTCACAAATGCAAGCACCCGAGTTCGATCCCCGGTACCAAAAAAAGAAAAGGAAAAAAAAAGAGTGCATTTTGTTCTTCTTCCCCTACGTGAAAATCAGTGGCATTTTAGAGTATGTCAACAGACCCCTG